CATTTGGTCTTGCGTCTCCGTGGTGGTATGCAAATTTTCGTCAAGACTTTGACTGGAAAAACCATCACTTTGGAAGTCGAACCATCCGATACCATTGAAAATGTAAAGGCCAAGATTCAGGATAAGGAGGGAATTCCACCAGACCAACAACGTTTAATTTTCGCTGGTAAACAGCTCGAAGACGGTCGCACACTAAGCGACTACAACATCCAAAAAGAGAGTACTTTGCATTTGGTCTTGCGTCTCCGTGGTGGTATGCAAATTTTTGTCAAGACTTTGACTGGTAAGACCATCACTTTGGAAGTTGAACCATCGGACACCATCGAAAATGTCAAGGCCAAAATCCAGGATAAAGAAGGTAAATGACATACATGACATTTTTTTGGCGATTTACATGCATTTTGTTACAATTTTTTAACTATTGTTTAATTATTAATTTAGGTATCCCACCAGATCAACAACGTTTGATTTTCGCCGGCAAGCAGCTCGAAGACGGTCGCACATTGAGCGACTACAACATCCAAAAAGAGAGTACTTTGCATTTGGTCTTGCGTCTCCGTGGTGGTATGCAAATTTTCGTCAAGACTTTGACTGGAAAAACCATTACTTTGGAAGTCGAACCATCCGATACCATTGAAAATGTCAAAGCCAAGATCCAGGACAAAGAAGGCATTCCACCAGATCAACAACGTTTAATTTTCGCTGGCAAGCAGCTCGAAGACGGTCGCACATTGAGTGACTACAACATCCAAAAGGAAAGCACTTTGCATTTGGTCTTGCGTCTCCGTGGTGGTATGCAAATTTTCGTCAAAACATTGACTGGTAAGACTATCACTTTGGAAGTCGAACCATCGGACACCATCGAAAATGTCAAGGCCAAGATCCAAGACAAGGAGGGAATTCCACCAGACCAACAACGTTTGATTTTCGCTGGTAAACAGCTCGAAGACGGTCGTACATTGAGCGACTATAACATTCAAAAAGAGAGTACTTTGCATTTGGTCTTGCGTCTCCGTGGTGGTATGCAAATTTTCGTCAAGAC